GCGCCCAATAAGGGCTGATGCCGGTTCGGAGTCGCGGAGAACCTTACGGGTTACTGGGGCTCCGGCTCGAAGCGCAGGAGAAGGAACGGGATGGTTTTTAGTCAGTAAGAATCTGATACTCAATCCCGCAACATTATTGTTTAGGTTTATGTCTCTGCAGATTCAACATATTTTATAAATCACAACGTCATGAATCCCAAAATAACGTTTGTCCATATTTGTAGGAAAAATATTTTGTTTTATAGATAGCAAGGAATTTCACACAAAAATGCCTTTCAATACTGAGGCCTTTGTGTATATTTGGACGGACGTCCAGATTCGATCCCTGTAAAAAACAAACCGATTGCTTTCTATTCCTATCAAACTCGATTGACGGATGAATCTGCAAAAAAGGACAAAAATATACTTACCTCCTACCCAATATATAAAATATATATATATATATATATATAAGGATACGTATAAAAACAGTCACCAACCGTTTGCCAGGTTAGGGAATAAAATATAATGATTAAAAATAACTCTTTTTATGTTATAATTTCTTGTTGTGTAGATATAACTATTTGTAATAAACACAAACAGCTTGGATGTCCAGTCGAAATTGACTAATAAAAATTGTTCAACTTTCTTAAAAAAAATGCAATGACTGCTTCGATGACCGAATGTTCGCAAGTGCAACAACCGGGCAAGGGATCTCGGGTTCGATTCCCGGGTCGGGCAAAGTATTACTGGGTTTTAAAAAAAATCTTAGTAGTAGCATGGAGTCTGGAAATGTGCCCGGTATATGGCAATAGGCTCACCCCCTATTGCATGGAACTCATAACATAAATAGTGAAAAGTGGGTGTTACTTCTGTGTGCACCTCAGCCTAAGGTACAACATAAATATGTTAACGTGATGTTATGTTGCTATGTTAAAAAAAATCTGGACAAATATAAGCTGAATTGAATTCTTTAAACTGTCAAACACCAAGCGGTCGCCGGTGACCGCGACCTATTGTTCTTTAATTGTATCTATAAAACCGGTACTCGACGAGTTAATTAAGAAAACTGTAAAAGATTTAGTTTTGTATGTGTTAAAAAGACATTGTATCATGACTTTTTTGTGATACAACATATTTTTGAAGGTAGTCACTCAGTTTATTTTAACGGCATTTTTTGTATCGAGGTTTCGAACCAAATATCAAGCTATATTTTGATAAGGCAACTGACTGAGGAACAGACAGATATACGAAAATAAGCTTAAATAATATACATAACCTATACGATAAGATTTATAACGTAGCGTAGCTTATGCATTGGTTCCGTGCCTATCATTTCACTAAACCTTAAAATAATGATAGTAGGTTCAAAATCTTTAGATATAATTAGCAACCCGCCCCGGCTTCGCACGGGTGCAATATGCATGCATTATACATATAAACCTTCCTAAAGAAACACTCTATCTATTAAAAAAGCGCATCAAAATCCGTTGCGTAGTTTTAAAGATATAAGCATACATAGGGACAGACAGACGGCGGATAGCGACTTTGTTTTATAATATGTAGTGATGAGATCAAGGAAGTTGAAAAAAGGTGCACTTCATTTCACTTAAAAATGATTGAAGCACTATAGTGTCTGTGTTTTTTTTATGTGTGCATATTATGTAATGGGTATTGTGTTTTATGTATGGTACTACGTTGAAATTGACAAGTTCGTTGTTTCAAGAGACTATGTCCACCTTATTTTCAACGTCCTTATTTTCAGACAAACACATTGATTAGTATAGATATACAAACTGTTAACACGATCTAGAATAACCGAATCAACATAATATACATTAAGCCAAGGTTTTAGTTAATCCGTTCAAATATTCAAAATGTTATTTTGTACAATTTTGTCTGGACATTACACTGATATACAATTAAAATGGTTACAATTAAAACGATAATCCCGTCGGTTATTCAGTATGAATTTCAGCGATTTTGGCGCCTACTAAAATTGTTTTACTAAATTATAAACATTATTGAAGCGTTTAGAAAATTTTGATATTTGCGTTACGATTTTTAGCTTAATGTAGTCTGAAATTGGTCGTAGGTGCTAGAAGAGGTCGGGCTCCGGCTCCAATTAGAAGTAGGATCAGAGTAGTTTTAGTCAATGAGAGTCTGACACTCCCTCTCACTTCACCCACGGTCAGAGAAGGCAATGGATGAGTTTCCTCTCTTTAAAAAAATTAGCTAGGAGATTGCATAAGTTTCAAAAAGGTTACAGGCGGCTTTTTGCGCTGCGACGCGTCATGAACTTCTTTATGTATTCTTGCATTGTTGTCTGCATGTGTGTCGTGGCGTAATAAACATTTTTTCTTTCTTTCTTTTTTCTTTTCTTTCGTTTTTCTTTCCTTTCTATTCCTTCTTTTTTGTCTTTTCTTTCTTCTTTCTTTCTTTCTTTCCTAGAGATTTTTAATGTTTCTTTTCCTAATACATATCAATACAAATAACTTTTAATATTATCTTCAAATCATAGAATGATCCACTTTAGATAATTTCCATATTTTAAATGGTGTACCCGCCGGTATTATATTAGGATCGGAATTAATTCGATTTGGTTACCATTAGGGATTTATTTAGTTATCCTCGGACTATCGTTTTAATTCTGAGCTTAAAGATAAGCCTAATAACGTCTGGTTATTGCTTTGATACATAATATGGGCCTGTTATTGAGTTACGATAAACTTTTTTGTGGTTTTGTTGAAACGTGTAAATTATATTTTTTAGAAATTCTCAGTAGTAGCACGGAGTCTGGAATTGTACCCGGTATATGGCAATAGGCTCACCCCCTATTACATGGGACTCATAAAATAAATAGTGAAAAGTGGGTGTTACATTGTGCAGTGGCATAATGTGCACCTCTGCCTACCCCTTCGAGGATAAAAGGCGTGATGTTATGTATGTATGTGTATTTATTATTAGTCGATATTTTTCCATGGCGTTCGGATAGTTGTGAGTGCACTTGCTTAGCGAGGGATGATAAATTAATTAGCAGTTTACTTTCGATTTTTGAACTGGATAAAGGCTTATTAACTGCTTTTTTTCGATTTCTAATATTCTCATTTCAGTGGAATCGTTGAATGTATGTTTAAGTGTTTCGTATACAAAACTGCGATGCGACGTCGCATCGCAATAATGTGCGAACTCCCTCTACCCATTGCAAAACCTTGAATCTTATCTTCCCAAAATCTTCATTGTTTCTTTTTCTGTATCTCCTAAGCATTAACAGAAGTGCACACTTCTTTTTACGATCCATGTCGACGACCTAGTTTTCAATTTAAAATACGCTTAGTACGGTTGACGGTCGTCGAAAGAATGGTCAACCTGGGAGACGCCTTGTCGCACGAAATCGCATCGCAGCAATTCGGATCGTATTTTTTGCTTTACGAATTTGCTTCGCATTGCATCGCAGTTTTGTGTACGAGCCCAAAGACTCATTTCTTATTAAATAGGTATCATAAGGCGGAAAACAAGTGTTTCATTCACCATTAGAGTGTCTAGATTTGCATTCATCTGTATGTCTACTATGTGTAGTACGTAATATACATACATGTATAGTGTATACTACAATCTAAAGTGTCACCAACACACGGCACTGCAGCTACACACAATATATTAAAATTACAATGACGTGCGAAATAATAACACTACTAAATAACAATTTTGTAAAACGTGTGTGTGTGTGTTATTTATAGGTAGAAGAAGAAAATAAAGGTTTTTTTTTCATCTGTATAACATCTTAGGACTAGATAATTTCCTGAAGATTACGTTATTTGTCCGTTTTATACAGATCTTATAGCTACTAGAAGTCTATTGTTACTAGAAGTCAAGTGCGGGAGAGCCGTGCTTCGGCATGAATGGGCCGGGGTGTCGACCGGAGTGATACCATGGCCTCACAGAAAACCAACGTAAAACAACGCTTGCGTTACGTTTAGTCATGAGAGTGAGGTTACCAGAGGCCCAATTCCTCCCCCCCCCAAACCCTAAATACCCAACGATCCTCAAATTTTAAACATAAAAAAGGCCGGTAACGCACTTGTAACTGGTGTTCCAGGTGTCCATGGGTGACGCCAATTGCTCACCATGGTGATCCGTCTGTTCGTTTACCGGCTTATCCCATAAAAAAAGATAGTCCATACAAATTTCGTTTTATGTTCAATCTAGCGCATGGTAGGTAAGATCCAGATATAGTGAAACAGGTCCAACAACAACTTGACGAATTATCCTAGTAGACCTGTAGTTTGTATGAAATATCTTGAAATTCAGTGTCTTAGTAGAGGTTCAAAACAAAAGTATAGGTACCTTAAAGGTCTCTTTGTTCTACTCACCTATTATTTACTAGCTGTTATCCATGGCTTCATTAATGCCTAAAAAGAAATAAATATATTCACCAAATAACCTAACTAAATAAGTATGGAGGAATTTTAAATTAAAACAAACTTTGATTAAAATCACTTTACCATACTCTCTCATTTACATAAAATTTTGGTTTAAATCTACATTTAAATAAATACCTATGTGCATTATTTTATCTGTGCATACAAATTAAACTTACTATTACTATTATTACTAGCAAAAACACTGAGTTTTATATTTTGATTAATTTATTTGTTAACTTTTTAACGCACACAAAAATAAGGTACATAAGGCGGACTTAATGCCCTATGGCGTTTTCTCCCGTCAACCTTTGGGTTAAGTAAACAATCAGCGAAAATAGGCTTGTGTAATATGCAGTAAAATAAAACGAAATAAATAACTAATAGTAATTATAAATATTGTATAACATTATTACGGTTTTATCTTCTGATTAATTCTTTATGCAAATATTATTGTTTGTATCTCTAGTTTCTTTTATCCTTGTCATGCTGGTCTCAGTTCTACATAATATGTACATCTGTCTTCCTTAAATAAACTTAGTACTAATATCTTTACCAAATGATTGGCCTCTCTATTCTTATTAAAAATAATTATAACTATTAAACAACTTTCTTCAAGTTTCCTTGGCCCCATACCATGTCAATTATTAACCATTGGCTAGTATAATAGAAGAAGTTTTCTAGAAAAACGTATATGACTAGTATGGGGAACTTCATTCCTGTGAACAGCTTCAGACCTGGGTATATGTATTCGCCTCTCATCACGCTTTGAACGCACCTGGAATCAATTAACAGAATATTATTGCATCCAATCTATTTGTAGGGTGTTTTTCTAAATTTTATCAAACTATCACATCTGTCTTTACGTTAGAATCATCCAAATATGTTTTTTTTTTTAAAAACACTAGGATTTTCTCCAGTGTCGTGGGTGCGTTCACAAACATACAAGTTGACATACACATAATGACACCCAGACCAGGAACAACAATTTGTGGATCACACAAAGAGTTGCTTCGTACGGAAATCGAACCCGCGACTCGTTACTCGGCAGCCAGTTGTCCAGCCAGCGCGCCAACCGTGCAGTCAAATAAGATATGCAGTTTTGACGTTAGAGCGTAAAAGATGTTAACAAAATATTTAATATTCGTATCTTTTAACGGTGATACACATGTTATAGCGTAACACAAAATTGTTACGAGTTCCACAGATTATAGAAATTGTTTAGATTTATGAGAGATCCATGTAATAAGAGAATAAGTGAGCCCATTGCCACACACCGTATTTAATAGTCGTAAAAAAACCAAAATATGAGCTGGCTTCTTGCATCGATCATTATTTTTGTCTCTCCATTACCCAGCAGTCTGGCTGGAAGAGAATGCCCATGACATTAACCCTACCATGCATATTAGTATGTGCACGAAGCCTTTTAAAATAAAAAAGTACAAAACCTACTTACACAACAGTATAAGCGATAAGAAAACATGATAATACTCCAATATTCAGCACGTTACTCTTGGGCCTCTCTCTTTTCACCAGCACGAGGTCTGTAAGCACCACAATCAGGGATACAGTGTGCATACAGTGCTGGGACCAGAAGGGAACCACTTTGTGAATGCTCGGCGGTGCTATCAGCTCTCGATGAGTATTCCATACTCGCCAGAACAGTATGTCACCAAACTGGAAATAAAATAATATTTGTGTTATCACTGGGTCTCTTTGATGAGTCTACTAAAGATCTAAACAGTTTATATATGTGTAGCGGTTTGCAACTTGGGCCTTCCGCTACATAGTTTGTTTACCAAACCTATTTGAATAAATGATCGGAATACAACTGCTATTACCTAACAATATGGCCGGCTATAACGCTACCACATATTACAGAAAAACATTGTAATATTTTGTGACTGTCTGTTTTTTTATTTTATTTTATTTATGTCCACACATACAACATAAAGGACAACACATATATAAAATTAAAGTACAAAGGTACCACCTAATCCTATTGGAATTTCTTCCTGTGGACCTGGAGCAGGAGAAGTAATAATTATATAATGACACAGTGTGTAATAAAAAATAGAAAATTGAGATAGGAAACAGACTTTAAAGTAAACAAATAAAAAAAATTAATATAGTTTTGTTTATTTGTTATATGTTAACCTCAAAAAAGTTTGAACTTAAAGCTACTTTTAAAAGTATTTTAAATTATTATTTCACTTCATTCAATAAGAAAATTATTTATGCCACCCATTTTACCTAAAGTAGGTATTCCTAAAAGCATAAAGTTATTATGATAATCATAAAACTCTCAATACTTTATTATCTTCTCATTAAATACATCATAAATAAAAGTGTGAAACTAAAATACAAGGAAAATACTTTTTTCCTTATTACGAAACAACTTAAATGAGACAAGGTTAGGCAAGTAACAACTTCATTAAAGTTTCACCTTAAAATGGACATGACTGTTATTTTATAGTAAGTTTTTACACATATTAAAGAAATATTTTGTCGGGTGTATTTTTTGTAAACACACTTATAAAGAAATCAGTTTTTAAATGCTGCCTGCTGAGTGGTGGCAAGTGCGACTGCCGGGTCGGGCAAAGTATTACTGGGTTATTAAAACAAAATCTCAGTAGCAGCACGGAGTCTGGAATTGTGCCCAGTATATGACAATAGGCTCACCCCCTATTACATGGGACTCATAACATAAATACTGAAAAGTGGGTGTTAAATTGTACTGTGGCATAATGTGCACCTCTGCCTACCCCTTCGGTGATAAAAGGCGTGATGTTATGTTATGTTCAGTTTTTAAATATATGTACCTAAGAAAAAGAGTATGAAATGGAGTTTCTTGCTCGTTCTTCTCCATTCGAATCTTTATTACAGAAGGATCACCTGGCTTCACTGAGGGACAGACTGACATACTATTATTTATTTTGTATTTGTTGACGTTTCAAAAGTACCTACTAAATTATGGTTCAATTGAAATAAATGCTATGACTTTATGTGATATTAAGATATGAATATAGATATTTACAAGGCTTGTCTAAAATATTTATTAATGATTTTATAAGTAGGTATTATCTAATCATCGTCACAAGACTTGTTGGAGTGAGCATAATATTTACTTTGAGATCGTTTTGAATTAAAATGCAGTGACATGAAATGGTCACACGATACTATCACCCGGTTAATAAAGATAAGAGCTAGAACGGGAAGAAGACTCTACTGGAAATAGGATAATAATCGTGGACTAACAGCATATTATCATTAACCTATGTATGATAGTAAGTTTGGGAGTTCAGTGTGGGAGACCCATGCTCTGGCACGAATGGGCCGGATCGACCGGAGTGATACCACGGCCACACAAAAAACCGCCGCGAAGCACCAGTCCCCTCCCTTAATCTCCCCAATTCCTGTATCCCTAAACGGCCGGTAATGCACTTGTAACGCCTCTGGTGTTCTAGGTGTCCTTGGGCGACGCCGATGGCTTACCATCAGGTGGTCCGTGTGCTGGATAAACTTTAAAAAAATTGAAATTGTGTTAACTCACAATTACCTATATGATAATCTCAAACGAAATCGCAACAAAAGGTCAATAGATTATAAGAACACATTGTTGGTATCTATGTTAATAGATACTGGTATCAAAATCCCGTAACAGACTCGAAACACAAAGCATCCGAGCTTGAAGGTTTCAGATTGGCTCAATACGGTATTTGTGCCCACTTGAAGACGTATACTCGCAAACAATCGTAGTAAAATATAATATTTAATAGGTAGTTAAGTCGAAATTATTATGACAATTTAGTGGGTACATTGTATACTTATATTATTAAAAAAAAGGTACGTCACGTCATTAGCGAAGATGACTAGTTTTTTGTTTGAATACCCGTCTTTTAGATTAATTAAAAAAGGAATCCTTATTTTCGATGATATATTGATTAGAAATATCACGTCACGTCACGATTTTTGTACTTAATGGTGGCGTAATAAACAACCAATATATTATATCCGAATATCATTAAGTTATAGTCTGTATAGCAAGGAATTACTTATTGATTCTGCTTCACTGACAGACAGACGGACAGACATATCAATTTTTGACGTTTATAAAGTGCCTAATTTAGGTTTAATTGAAATAAATGCTTTGACTTCGACTTTGATTTCAGTTTGACCAAATGAACTTACCTATATGAATATTTTTTGAGGATACCCAAAAAACTAAAATCAATTCATAAAAAAGAAAATATCAATAAATAAATTAAATTGTACAAATAAGGCGTTGTTAGATATAAATGTAGAATGTAAATGAGAATCAATTTAAGCAATTGTGGTAAAACTTTTATATATTGGTCATATTGATACTGCTTAACCAAAATAATATGTATTATGTATACCACCTTGTTACTCACACATGAAACAATAAAGATTTTGAATTTGAATTTGACAATTTCTTGATCAATTGTCACATTTGCGACCAAGTGAAGTAATTTAATAAAGAAATCAGATAATAACATATTATTTTATTTACTCCATTCGGAATCTTCACAGTTAATTGCGTATTTCTGGGTCACTTCCAAACAAGCCGACCAAGGGTACGACATTGTGAAGTAATTGCAATCTGATGACATCTCTCAAAATCTTCCACATTTTTTGACAGCTGTGAGGTCGAATTATAAAGAGATTTTTTTTCCTTTTATTTTTAACTAGCTTCTGCCCGCGACTTCGTACGCATTATCCCACTTTTTCCCGTCCCCGTTCGTGATTTTCGGTAAAAAGTAAAAAAAAATGTTGGTTAAAAAGTATCCTATGTCGGTCTCCTGGCTCTAAGCTACCTCCCTACCAATTTTCAGCCAAATCTATTCTGCCGTTCTTGAGTTATAAGTGGTGTAACTAACACGACTTTCTTTTATATATATAGATTTCAATATTGGGCTATTAAAACTTGGTTCTACAAATTATTATAATTACTTTTATTCCTTGTTAAATAAAAAAGATTTGCTCAAAAAGATGTTCGTTATAAAATCGTTTTACCGGGTAGAGGAAGGAAGTTGAAGTAAAGAAAAATATTAAAAATTGATTGAAGGTAACCAATTATATAACTTATATTTAATAAATATTTCCTTCCTGAAAGTTATTTTTTTGCCTTAAGTTCTGACTACGGTGTAATTGATAAATGGCATTGGGTATTTTTAATAAATAATTATTATTGATTTAGATACAATTTAATACGTATAAAAGTTATATGAAAAATTTGCTTCGAAAATTATTTTTGACCTAAAAATTGCTTTCATACGTAACGAAACCATATTTTATACCTAAGTTTTTTTTTCGTACCTATGGAACCAGATATCTTTACCGAATATTTTTTATCAAACCCTAACTACACTGGCTTTAGAATCGAACGAAATGGAATACAAATAAAACATTTTACCTACAAAAATCGAACATACAAAAATAGCCCGTGTGTACCTTTTGTTAAAAATCAATATTAACATGCACTTTTGTACTTCATATTACTAAAACCTTTATTAAGTAAACATGTTTACAGGACCGCTTAGTGGCAATTTGTATGTTGAAACTTACTGCAGTGGTCGGTAGTAGGATGCTTGTGAAGCACAGGCATCTAACTTGATTGAGAACTTTCACGTGATTGCGTCCATGCTCTCCTCGCAGTTCCCTCCAATCACAGTAGAAACATATTGGGAAGTACACCAATGTGAACAGCTGAAACAAATTAACATAATTATTATTTATTCTTAAATCTTAGGCCCCGCCAATAAAATAAATTAAAAATCCCAAAAGTTATTCACGTAAACCCTCGGCCGCACTAACAGCTGTAGCCAAATGCCATTTAGCGCTTGTCTACATGTAGAATAGAAAACCAAATTATATGGAATTGACGTAAATTTTAACACTTGTCAGTGTCATCCTCCATTTAGTATTCCACTCTCTCTGTAGACAATCGCTAAAGTGGCATTTGGCTAAAGGCATTTTTTTAAGTGGGGTAAATCACTCCCTCCCGCCTGGGTTAGGGCGGGAGGGAGTGTCAGACTCTTACTGACTAAAAACCACCCCGTTCCTTCTCCTGCACGTCGAGCCGGAGCCTAGGTTACCCGTTAGGTTCTCCGCGACTGGGTAAAGGCATAGGGCGGAAATACGTGTATTTTTACCCGTGTAGCATTTATTTGTATTGCAAAAAATGGACGTAGGACAAAATCGCAAGTGCGACGGCTTGTGTTCGGTTTCTTTCCACCAAAATTATGTGGTAAAACGTCCGCGGTTTCGCTCTAGTGGCCTTACGTGAATAGTTTGTGCAGATTTTGAGATGTGGTACTAGAATATTTTTTAAAGGATTTAATCTATATCGTGTAAGCTATAGGTAGAACTCTTCTTTATCAAATCCATCTTGGTTTAAAACTTAAAGAAAAACATACAAGTAAACTTAACACTTGAAATTAATTTCTTCCAAGATAAACAATACAATATTTATTGTTTGATACATTCAAAGTTTAGCCTACATATGTCTTGTTCAGAAATTCTTCGAGAATGTTCGTCGAAGGATATATTAGAGATGGGGGAAACAATATTTTTTGTTGATATGTACGCACGTCACGTAAACAATACCGGACGGGTTTTAATGGGATTTTAATCTGCAGAATCCTGTAGAATAGTGATGTGCTTGATACTGTTTTTGTGGTGGATTTATTGAAATAGGATTTTAAAGATATTGTGTTAGTACTATAGTGATAGGCGTTGAAGACTTTAGGTAATTTAATACTCTTTTTTGGAAATAACACTCAATTTTTTTGTACGAATGTCCTTCCTTATAAATGTACCTACCTACTAAGCGTAAGATCAAAAAGTCGTGTAAATAAAATCTTTATATGCATTATTATTATCGAATAACAGTAGGTAACGCGAGACTCTAAACGCCTTAATCGTTTACACAAGTATCAATTTGCAAAAATATAATGACACTATCATTGTCACACTCAAATTTTCCTAAAGAGAAAATAATAACAACAAAAACATCTACTACAAAACATAAAGATTTGTATTCACAAAAACAATATTGTTAAATAATAAGTCACAAAAAGGAAAAAAATGTTAAAAAATCGAAACATAATGTGTTTTGTCAATTCTTCTCACTACATAGTATAAAACAAAGTCGCTATCCACCGTCTGTCTGTCCCTATGTATGCTTAGATCTTTAAAACTACGCAACGGATTTTGATGCGGTATTTTTTATAGATAGAGTGATTCTAATCTTAAGGAAAAAGTATGCTATTTGATGCAAAAATACGATGACGTCATAACAATGCGATGCGATCCAATACAAAATTCATAGAAAAATATCGTTTTTGACATTTGAATAAAAGTATTGAATTTGACTACCTGTCAACTACCGAATTGGGCTTCCGCTAGGTAACCTCACTAACACGACAAAACACAAACAAAAATTAATTGAAAAAAGCTCTATTAGGGACTCCCATGATCGTGAGATTGAGTCTAATGGTATCTATAGTGAGATTAAACTAAAACCTCATTTTTCATATGCATGTGTTTCACTACGTCTTACCTATTCTTATTTACACTTTTAAGACTGTAATATAGTAATTATGATACAAACAATAATATCAGTTTGTTGGTTCTTAAGCACCTTTATTGTAGACTTAGCTTAAACAAACCATCGTCTAAAGGTCAGGGGTTACGTACACAGGGACGGACTCAAAAGTGTACATAGACAACTTTAGTATTGACTCTGAGCTTGGTTAACAGATAATTTAAGTCAACATCTTGTATTTTAATAATAATAATAATATAAGCCTTTATTCTTTATCTTGTATTTTAATAGTTGGTAATTCGACTGATCGACTTGTTCGATTAATTTAGATTCGTTTGAATATTTAGACTGCTTTGTTGGCTGAGTTGTAGCCAGTGCGACTGCCGGGCAAAGAGTCTCGGGTTTGATTCCCGGGTCGGGAAAAGTATTACTGGGTTTAAAAAAAATCTTAGTAGTAGCACGGAGTCTGGAAATGTGCCCGGTATATGGCAATAGGTTCACGCCCCTTTCATGGGATTCATAACATAAATAGTGAAAAGTGGGTGTTATATTGTGCAGTGGCATTAAGTGCCGCATTCTGCACCTCTGACTACCACTTCGGAGATAAAAGGCGTGATGATTGATGATGATTAAGTGTATGTGCGTTTGAAATATTTAGCGTTTTATAGAGAGTAATAGATACTTATGATCAAGTCTGTGGACATAGGCCTCTATCAATGACTTCCAGATTTTTTTTCCTAAACAATCCTATTTTATTAATAAGAATAGTTGATAAAATAATAGTAAGTTGGAATGACAGTATAATGATAATAATATACAGTTAGAAAGTCTACAACAAAAAAAAAATAAGACATAATCAATAAATATGAAATAAGTTCTTCTGCCACTGATATTATATAAAATCAGTCTACAATTTTAATTGTTACATTTGATACAATACATGTTTGTTAGAAGCTCCATAACAACATTGAAGGGAAGTTTCCCCATGGTAACTTGTCGTCTTGTTAATTGTACAAAGAAAAGAAGCCATTTTGTCCTGCAAGCTATGAAATTAAGCCTTGTTTCCTGACGTTATTCTGTTGGCGACGCCGAAGACTTAAATATCTAAAAACTTGGACAGAAGGACAGTGGGGACTTTCGTTACAGGGGCAGACAGCACTCCTGTAATCGCTTTATGTCTTCAAACTTTGTAGCACAAGTTTATTTTATAGTTTTAATAATTACATAACATAACATAACATAACATCACGCCTTTTTATCCCCGAAGGGGTAGGCGGAGGTGCACATTATACCACTGTACAATGTAACACCCACTTTTCACTATTTATGTTATGAGTCCCATGTAATAGGGGGTGAGCCTATTGCCATATACCGGGCACAATTCCAGACTCCGTGCTACTACTGAGAATATTTAAAAACCCAGTAATACTTTGCCCGACCCGGGAATCGAACCCGAGACCCCTTGTCCGGCAGTCGCACTTACGACCACTCGGCCAACGAGGCAGTTATTTTTAATAATTATATACGGAATAACCTTGTCTCAATCTTACTTTGTATTCTTTTGAAATTTGATAAAAGAAGTGGGTACAAGTGGGTTTCATTATTTGTATTGATACACTAAACACGAATAATTGGGTAGTTTTCAGGTTACCAAAGTTAAGAATCTAAGTAGTCCGTCTGTTAGATAATGAAAAAATATTAGACACGTATTTTTTTATTTTCTCGTATTACGTTGCAATATTTAGATAAAATGGCGCTAAGTTTAGGACTTGGTTGTTACGTCATAACGTGCTACAAAATGTGGCACGCTGTGACGTCACACTATTAAATTTAAAGTATTTCATTTAGTGAGAAAAGAAAAAATACGTGTCTAAAGTTTTAAATTAATGTACCAGACGGACATTAAAATATAATTTAAGAAACTACCCTAGGTACTTTGTGATAACATTGGTGTATCTCATAAGCGTACATACCTTATTGCTTATATAAAATATATTTCCACATAAGCACTGACCGTTCGAAACGTGTGCTTCAAAAATCACATGCAATGGTCCTTTTGGTTGCTTGCTAAATAATGTATTCATAAAAGTTGTTTCAGTTTAAACAAACAGAATTCAAGTTGTAATTTTACGTATCTATGATAATAACTCAAATAATTACCATTAGTAAAGTTACGAAGCGTGGTATTTGTTTTACTTAATTTTTGAAAATTTATGGCTTTTGTTAACAGCTACGTGCTAAATGTATATTCAAAATTTTGTTGGCTACTTGTTCTGTTTACATTCTATTGTTTAATTTGTCTAGTAGGTTTAAAAAAAATTAAGGAACAAACATAGAACATTGCACTATATCCAAAAAATTGATATTTATTTTATGTCATCATTTTTGTCGTCTATCCCCTTCATCATAATATTCATTGGCCATCTTTCCATTATGCTGTTCCTTTGCATCATAAACTGCGACTTATTAATAAATTATTCGCATTAAACTTCAAAACGGGGCAAAATAAAAAAATATTTTATATTTCTTCGTGAAAATAATATTTTATGAATGGCCATGGTCCACCGGGATTGCGTTTGGTTATCTCTCACAATAAATTGGGATTGGTAAGTATAACTTTTATGTTGCAATATGAATCTGATTCGTGTTTTTACGAAGGTTTTGCGGACAGACTCGTTTGTAGAGGTATTATCAGTACAGATTGGTCCAATTTATTCAGTGTATTCTACCAGGACCACGTACCTACCTATGCATTTAAACACAGTCATAATTATAATATGTGCCAAAAATTTAATTAAGCTATATTTGAGGAATGCAATCTCCGTCGTGTTTAAAATTCGGAGATCTTACCATAATTATAACACGCCCAGCAATAATATGTACCCTTACAAGTAGAACAACGCGTGATGTCATTGAACAAAGAATTATATCTAATCAATGTAATCGAAAATAATACATTATTATACTTCCTACTCTCCTTTCTGTGGTAGTAATAATAAAATAATCACATAAGTTCAGTTTTCATCCTATTCCTTCGTAATCGTAAGTTAAATGAAATAAGGGTACTTTTTTAATTTCAATATAAGTCTTAGGTACATTCATTTAGTGGAATTTTTGAAATGATTCTGGTTTTCTACTTCCAGCCAAAAGGTTTCAAGGTCAGTATAACATGCCTTCCATTCATCTCATTCATCTCTATCAATCATTTTAGTGCGAACGGAACCCTTTTCAATCCATATCTTATTACACACAATCTATCCCTCGAGGAAAAATAAAAATCATCTAATTCGGATTGATATTTATAACGCCATATTTGTTTTCTTTTGAGGGATTAAGCTGAATTAATGATATTTATTATTTACGTATTCATTATTTACCCATTTTTATTGGTTTAAGCATAATGTTTGAATGTTTTTTAAACCTAAGCAAATGATGTAATTTGGGGTTAATGATCAGATATTTTTACTAGAACCTATAAAAAAAAATCAAATGTTAAAAGAAGGTCAAGTGTAAGACATACATTCGCGTATATTTGGGTATTGGTGTCAGTATATTTAACAGTACTAAATTCATTAAAAACATAGACTCACATTTGCTTTTTAATAGTTTCATTGTAATAATGATAGCCTATTGTTAATTTCAAACTCTATACAAAGAATATTAAAACTAAAACTTTTTGTACCGATTTGCTCGAATCGAATCTAAAATTATCATACTCAATAGTCACTTCAACTCAATCAATAAACACACCACTTATAGTAAAATGTTTGCAAAAATAGCTCTAGAATTTTCGAAATCCTGTCGGTTGAATACACCGGATTGGTCAATTTGAGATTGGAACAGATAATAAAGATACAATGCCTCTATGGCTCCGTGACCCGTGCAAAGAGGTCTGTTGACTTAAAAATCATGCGTTATTTATAACTGTCGTTTAATTCTGTCCTTTATGGTGTACCCTGTATATGGCTGACAGTATTATGTTTGGTAGTGATTAACATTAATTTATGCGTCTTAATGGCTTAGTATTGTTTTGTTTTTAAGATTTTTTTGTATGTGCCTTTTCATTTTTAACTTAGGTACTTCCAAAACTGATCGACACATATTAAATAATTTTTAGGGATCGTAATTACTCAATAATAATTTTAATTGAGAGTGAAATTTTATCCAGATTAGACCATTAATTTCAAAGGATTAACTGTATACCAAATTATATAATTTAATTAGAATTAATTTAAACGACTTCTGTTATTATTTAGTAGCATTATAAAAAATAACTTACATTAAACCACGCTGTGATCAATTTAAATCTGATCTTCTGATACATTTGTATATCCGGATCATCGTGAGCAGCAAAATCGATGGTAAGCAATAATCCTGCCACTGCCACTAAATGCACATAAGATAACGCGTAGAACCACAATCTCACACGCAACAAGGTTCTACTCTCTTTCATAAACCCGGTACTAAGAATGGCTGAATCTAAATTCAACATTGTAATAAAAAAAAAACAAATTCGAAATTCGAAAAAAAAGATGGCCGCTATATTCTCAGCGGCCTGCGCGCACGTATTCGGACTTAAGACGATACCAATGTACTGCAGTACTTGTATTTTAAGTCAAGTTTAATGGATGAGTCGTAGATCCAACGCTACTATATATAAGGAACATACATACGTCAATGGATGTAAACGATTGTCATTTTAGTTCACTAAAAAATAGGACTGTAATCATTTAAAAGACAATTTGCAATATTACCGATGTTTTTCTTGATATATACAAAGTACAATAAGTAAAGGCTAAGTTAAAATTAATTTTAATAGATATCCATATTGAGATAAACTCCCATCTAATGTTGAGATGATATTATATTCACTCGGATAAATATTTTAATAATTCTTAATGTTTGGAAGATCCTATCAGATAATACATGCTGCGGAGAACCTAAGGGGTTACCGGGGCTCCGGCTCGAAGTGCAAGAGTACGAACGGGGTGGTTTTTAGTCTGTAAGAGTCTGACACTCCCTCCCGCCTCACCCAGGCGGGAGAAGACTTTCGATGATTTTTTCTCTCCTTAAAAAAAATATGTAATACATATCCTAAATCCTATATTACCTAATTTAACAAATAAAATAGATCTTAATCTGAGATTTCTGGATCGACCTGCGTTTTTGACAGAAGCTTAAAAAGTAAAAAATCGGTCTCTATTGAAATGTTATTAATTTTTACTATAAGTGTTTCTTACTATTACGAAAAATACAATAACATGTTTTTAAATTTTTATGTTTTGTTCTAGAAGTTGGTATTTTATACATTATAGGTACTTACTTACTGTTTTTTTATACAAAATATTTATGTACATGATTGCCTCTTAAGTCAAGTGGTTGTAAGCGTGACAGTCAAGTACGAGGTCTCGGCTTTTAACTGCTGGTTACTCAAAGTATAATGATAATTCAATGAATAGTTTTTTTGATGGTTCTTTTATGTGTTGGTGAATAAGACTATTTACAAACTTGTTAAAAGTGTACGTTATATAATGGTTACATAACATACCTATGAAGTATATAGGAATTTTATGTATAGTGCTTGTATATACATATATGTAACATAACATAACATCACGCTATTTATCCCCGAAGAGGTAGGTAGAGGTGCACATTACGGCACTTAATACCACTGTACAATGTAACGCCCACTTTCCACTATTTATGTTTTAAGTCCCGTGTAATAGGGGGTAAGCCTATCGCCATATACAGGATTCGATATACAATTGACTGCACGGTTGGCGGGGTGGCTGGGCAACTGGCTGCCGCGCAATGTGTCGCGGGTTCGATTCCCGCACGGAACAACTCTTTGTGTGATCCTCAGATTGTTGTTCCGGGTCTGGGTGTCATGTGTATGTGATATTGTATGTTTGTAAACGCACCCACGACACAGGAGAAAATCCTAGTGTGGGGCAACGTTTAAAAAAAAGAAAAAAAAAATCGGACTCCGTGCTACTGCTGAAAACTTAAAAAAAAACCAGTTATACCTTGCCCGACCTGGGAATTGAACCCGAAGTGCATTTATTCTTAGATTTGTCAAAATGATCCAAAATAAATAGATAACATTCTTTAAAATCGTCTCTTCATCATTCAACAACTAATATTATAAATGTGACAGTAATTCGATTTTAATACTCCTAAAATGTTGCTAATGTTTTTTTTTAAACTGTCAAACACCAAGCGGTCACCGGTGACCGCAACCTATTGTTCTTTAATTGTGTCTATGTGTGTATGAGTTATGTATGTGTGTATGTGTATGAGTTAAGGGGAGAAAATCATCGAATGACTGCTCCCGCCTGGGTGAGGCGGAAGGGAGTGTCAGACTCTTACTGACTAAAAACCACCCCGTTCCTTCTCCTGCACGTCGAGCCGGAGCCCCGGTTACCCGTTAGGTTCTCCGCGACAATGTATACGGGTAGGATGTATGTAGATAGCAGGGGTACAGAGAAATACTTAAGATACCTTTACACCCCCAGCAAAACTGCGGCTAAACGCTAGTGTGATACATAACCTAGTACATAATACCCTTTAATAGACTAGGCTATATCTATATAGCACAGCAAGACAATGAAGTCTAATTAATTGCCTATTATTATCTGTTATTATATTTACGATATTATTATCACAACAACTATATTAGTTACTATCTTAGATCAACTATGTAATTACCGTTATTAAATAAAAGGTATACAATATTGCTGATCTATACATGCAGATAAATAAAACTGGATTGTCTGTTTGTAATATTAAAATAATCATTTTTTACGACATGTATATGAATATAGGTACGATATACATACATACATACCAAAATAGCCTTTTTTACAATTTTGGTCTGTATTTCTGTTTGTAATGTAACAAAATAAAGTTGTTTTCTAAAATTCATTTTCTACGCGGAAGTGTAGTCGCGTACAACAGCTAGTAATAATTATGAATACACACAAAGGTACAGGGTAAAATCATAACCTTCTTTTTTGCATCGGCGTAGTCCGGAAAAATAAAATATAAAAAACAAAAAATAATATATAAAGGTTAATAGTGTTAACTATTATCTATATTATTATAACAAATAAAAACTAAAAAGCAAAAAATAACTACTTATAGCTTCTGATAGGTTTACCCAACCACTGATAGGTTAAAAGTAGACGCCATACTCCGCCATTTGACGTCGGTAAAAATGTTCACCATCGCCATCAGCTTTTAAGTACTGCTGAGCTAACTTTACTTTCTGCTTATTCCAATTTATTAAGTCGTAATTTTGGACAATTACGTTATCATTGTAAAATAAATTAAATACCTATATAGGTATCTTTAAATCCACAAGGAAAAAAGTATATAGAAATGCAAAGTTGCCGTCACGGTACACCTTATCCTCAATCACATAAAAATAAACTAGTAAACAAATAAAAAAAATATCAATATACCAGCTAATAAAGTCAATATTGAAAAAGCTTTATTATTATGGCTATAAAGTCTGTTTTCATATCGTTAACAAGTTGACAACAAAATGTAATAAATTCGTGTACTCAATGAGTGTGCATATGAATCTTATGAGCGTACGATGTCGTCCATTGATCGAGTTAAATAATGTCAAGGTGTTCTCGACATTCAACAGAAGACAGGTCAAAATATCCCCATGCAGTAGCTAGGTTTGAGTCAGCGGTTCTCAAAAATGATAATTGTGACCTTTAATCAATGTATAGTGTTTTTGTAAGACATTGAAAGCTTTTAAATATATGAGAACTATATATAATAGAATCACGTGTTAGTGTATAGGAAAACTTGTTTTTTTTTCAATATGATTGCCTCGTTGGTCGAGTGGTCACAACGGCAAGGGCTCTCGCGTCCGATTTCCGGGTCGGGCTAAATATTACTGACTTTTTTTTAAATCTCAGTAATAGTACGGAGTCTGGACTTGTGCCTGGTATATATGGTAATAAGGTCACCCCCTATTACATGGGACTCATAACATAATTAATACTGAAAAGTGGGTGTTACATTGTACAGTGGCATTAAGTGCCGAAATGTGCACCTCTGCCTATCCCTTCGGGGATATAAAGCGTATTTTCATGTTGTTATAAAAGTATCTGTCGTACAATAAGTGTTCACTCTCTTCCAGGCACAAAATAAATCTAGTTGTCACCCAGACGGGTGGCCATATTGAAAAAAAAAACTTGCAATATCCTATATACCTACAGTACCTATGTATGTTATTAAACAATTTCTCTTTATGTTTTCATTAGATATGGTCTTATATAAAAAAAAAACTACATATTATTCCTAGCAATGACAAATTAGTTTTGTGCCAATTACCTACACAGTTAATTTTCTACCAAAACTTCTTCAGCAAATGACTGTAGTACTTATAAATATACGTACTAGGTTCAAATTCATAACTTAGCTAATATTCCTAGTATTCAAGTTTATGAGTTAAATAATAATAATAATAATAATACCAATTTATTTCAGATAATAAAATCCATAAAATTACATTAAAAACGAATTCAGGTTCAAAATTATATAAATTAACAAATTGACTTTATAGCAAGTATCATAAAATAAAAATAAAAATCATATCGTTCATTCATCAAATAATCAAAATAATAAATTACACAAACACACAAAGAACATACATAGTCAATTAATTATAAGTAGTCAGTTTCAATTATAAATAATCAATACAATCTCAATATAATCAATAATAATACAAGTCAATAAATACAAGTCAATAAAAAATACAAGTCAATAGATAATAATACAAGTCAATAGATAATAATACAAGTCAATAGATAATACAATTCAATAGATAATAATACAAGTCAATAATATAGGTATGTCAACTATAAATATGAGGGACCGCTCGCGTGCAATCGCATCCACCTCATCAGCATTGGTGAGTCCCACCGCTGGGACAACGTGCTCAGAATACCATTCGGGCTGCCACGCACACGCCTTAACAGCGAGGCGCACCTTTTCCTGATTATGGCGAAAAAATCATCAGTTTGCGCCTCAGCAAACATAGCGGAAGCACTACAAAAGCGTGGCAGCCCCAATAATATCCTAAACGCATTGTTATACTGCACTCGCAGTGCACTGTACCCCCGCAGCGCAAAATTAGTCCACAGGCTGCACGTGTAAAAGGTCTGGCAGTACGCCTTGAATAATGTTATCTTTACTTGAGTAGTACAACGTGCAAACCTGCGAGCCAACATATTACACCGGATGGACAGAGCCCTGCGTTCCCTCTCGATGTCCTCATTGTCACACAAGTCTTCAGTCACCCAGTGACCCAGATACTTAAAGGCACTAACCTTTTTCAGACGCATGCCGCACAGAGTTACATGAGGAACATGGGAGTAGCATTTGCTACGTGACTTGAACACCATGAACTCACTCTTATTCGCGTTGTATCTGAGCCCATGGGCTTCCGCGTATGATTGGCAGATGCACATC